CCCGAATTGTTAAGTGTTAATTAATCGAGTAAATGATAGCGCTAATAGTAATTTTGGTTCTAGAATTGCAGCAATATTTATTTCATGTAATGTTCAATGCACGGCTCACAATATGTCGTTTTGTTCGGACATGTCGGTTGTGGACGTGATTGTGTACTGACCGGTGCATTGTCTGTGTGTTTGTGTCCGGGCAGTAACGGACAGTTTCGGACTGCCTCGAGAGCTGATGCAGACGAATAGAAGTCCAGTTGACGGCACAGCGTGTGTGACTACGAGGGCGCTCGGTTTGGCCCACGGCTGAGGCCGTGGCGGCTACAAGATGTATATATCAAACGCATGACGGCAGCCGGTCATGCACTTGTCGGCATATTTCAGCATTGCATTTCGCCAATCAAACCATTTACCGCATCGGTCATACCTGTGCAATTCTCAAAACTGTGTACCATTTACAACCGACTTTTTGTGTCAAACTACCGAACCGTTAGAGTAGTGGCAGCAGTACGGCCAGTCTTCGTGTGGGTCCGCATGTGTCTGATAAGCTTTGGCTCGTTGAGCGAACCGGGCCTGGCAGTGTGAGCAGCCGTACGGCCGCTCCCCGTGTGGGTACGCATGTGTGAGGTGAGACTTGCCCCTTGAGTGAAGCGTGCCTTGCAGATGGAGCAGCCGTACGGCCTCTCCCCAGTGTGGGTCCGCATGTGCCTGGTTAAACTTCCCCGTAGAGCAAACCGCGCCTGACAGATGGAGCAGCCGTACGGCCGTTCCCCCGTGTGAGTCCGCATGCGTTCGGTGCCGTGTGGATACGCATGTGTCTTGTTAGTGTAAACTGTTGAGTGAACCGTGCCTTGCACATAGAGCAGCCGAGCGGCCTCTCCCCAGTGTGGGTCCGCATGTGCTTTTTAAAGGTAGTGTGCCACCTTTGAAAGATTTCCCATTTTATTTTCCTAGGAAAAGAAGCTTCTGTTTTTACCTAATATCGCAACAAAAATCAAAAATGGGCCTGGAATAGTGCCTTTTTCGCCTAAAAGTTTATCGGTTTTTCGATATGTATAACAACAGTAGTGGGCTGAGCTGCAAACAGGCGTCGGCAACAATCGCGAATGCGGCGCACATGTAACAATAAGCAAAGGTCATTATAGAGTTACGACGTACGGGAATGAGTTATCAGCTGTCTAATCGTAGACAACACAATGTCGAGCCTTAAAACTGTAAGCCTGTATTGGTATTGTTTCTTTTATTTGGCTGTCGAACATTATTTATGGTTTGAAATATGATTTTATGTAAAATAATTGATATGAAAAAGCCGTCTCTTAAGTTATGACCCCATTTCACCACACGCAAGTGGCAGAAATGACAATGATCAGCTGACGCATTTTTCTTGGCCGAAGTCAGAGCGCGCGGCCCGACGCACCACCACCGCACCACAAAGTATGAGCAGAAGCCGCGCCCAAAGCCAGGGCCCCGGTAACGTGAGGTAGCCGAGTCGGTGCAGCGTGCGCTGACCCAAGCCGGGGCCGCAGCTTTGGGCGCGGTCTACCGCATCCCCCCGGGCTATCACATGACACCGGGAGGACGCGCGGCCCCGGCTTGGGTCAGCGCACGCTGCCCCGACTCGGCTACCTCACGTTACCGGGGCCCTGGCTTTGGGCGCGGTCTACCGCACCACCTAACAGGCGTGTTCGAAACCGCAGGAGATGATGATGAACGGGTTTATCGAAACTTGATTGGATGAGCATATCGGTAATAGCGATTTCAGTGTGTGCATTTATTGTTCATAGTGGTGTGAAATGTGGTTGGGGTACGACCGACAACCCGTCGGGGCGAATTTCGCACTGGGGTACTCAAAATTTGAAGAATTTAAGACGTTTCCATGAGTTTTGAAGGTATGGATAAGTTCTAAAAATCCGGTTCTCCTTATCTGGGCCATTAACTCCATACGGTCCAGGAAAGCTGGCACACTACCTTTAAGGATTGATTGATCAGTGAACCGTGCAGAGCAGATAGGGCAGCCGTACGGATGCTCACCAGTGTGGGTCCGCATGTGTGTGGTGAGAAGGAACCGTGTAGTGAACCGTGCAGTGCAGATAGAGCAGAAGTGGGGCCGTTCCCCAGTGTGGGTACGTATGTGTACGGTGAGGTTTGACCGGGAAGCAAACCGTGCTGCGCAGGTGGAGCAGCCGTACGGCCGCTCCCCAGTGTGGGTTCGCAAGTGTCTGGTAAGGTGTGACCGTTCAGTGAACCGCGCCGTACAGATGAAGCAGCAGTGCGACCGCACCCCAGTGTGAGTCCTACGGTGACGTTTTATGTCTGTGGACCTGTCGGTCGAGTACCGACACCGCTCGCACTTGAACCTCCCGTTCCTGTCGATGTCACTGTGACACCTCTTCACGTGTCCGTCCAGACGTTGCTTTCCCCAGCATCGGAAGTCGCAGTGGGGACATTGAACCGAGCCACTTATGCCTGAAAAATACACAGAAAAAAAAGAAAGGCCCTTAAACAAGTTGCATGCCAAAGCAGGTCGCACATACACTGGAACAATACCGACGCCCAGAGATGACCCACGCAGCTGGTCGTTTCCAGGTCACCTTGGTGAGCGCAGTGGGCGGTAGCGGCAATGTTGACGCGACAAGCCATCAGCGCCCATGAGTTGATCCGTGTATCGTTCGAAATACAGCCTTCAGAAACGGAACGTTGAGCTCGTGGGGAATAGTTGTCTTGCCGTTTATTAACTAGCGCACAGACAGAACTCCGAGCCAACTTATCCGTGAAGGAAAGGGCTTATTTGACAACACCAAAGATTTAAATTTTAAATATAAAGACACGAGAAAACACCATCAATAATTTTTCCATGCAATGTTACTTTAGTTGGGAAAGCTCCACTGCGGCTGACACACTTCTCTTGGTCAACACCTATTTAGATTAAATACATACATGATACAAATGGTTGCAGTAACATTTTCTTTATATTTTGATACAAAAGCAATGCAAATATATAGCGAGCACAACACACCTGAAACAGGTAATAACACATTAAAATGGCCAAAAATTGATAAACATGCGTTTATTCGGCCATGACATTATTTCTACATGCACATGAATACTATAACACCGTAGGCAAATGTAGTACGTATTGGTTAATAGAACTGTGTCCTTATGAAAACTCAGTACGTTCTCCTTTACAAAAAATGCTACTTATTTACCAGCCTTTGGCGGCACATAGTCTGTCGAGGGCAGGGTTGTGCTCGACTAAAAAAAAATTTGCCGACTCGACTCATCATTCAACTTCAGAAAGCCCTGACTCAACTCTGACTCAAACAAGGAGCTGATTTTTTCCCTTGACTCGACTCATGACTCAAGCGGATCAATGAAAATATGAGTTGACTCAAACTTGACTCAAATTTTTTGTTGAGTCAAGTGTGTTGACTCAAAATTGACTCAGATAAAAAAGTTGTTGAGCGGGGGGGGGGGGGGTGAAAAAAAATCCGGCAGCAGGGCCAGGCCTAAGTTGTTAAGCGGGGGGAGAATGAAAAGCTTGTATGTTGTTTCTAGATAGATGAATCAGCTGACTCATGTTCCTAAATATTTTTGACTCAACTCAATGTCAAAAGTTATTTTACTGACTCAACTCTGACTCAACTCAACACCTTAATATTTTTGTCTGACTCAACTCTGGCTCAACTCAACAGCTCAACATTTTATCCGACTCGACTCAAACCTGACTCATCTGAGTCAGAGTTGAGTCAAATCTCTGACTCGACTCATGAGTCAAGCACAACCCTGGTCGAAGGTGACACAAGAAACATCCAGTCAGGCTTGCAGGTAGAGACAACACATATAAACAGTAGCCGCGTTTATGTAGCCGATGAATAGAGAGTTGCAAGATTCACATGACATGCTGAACTACGATTGGCAGGTGACTTGTCGACAATGGCTGCGCAGAACATACGAAATGCCACGAATGCGAGAGTGAGTCGTAGCCACAAAAAGAGGCGTTGTCACTCAATGTAGCCGGACATTATCTACGACGTTGTACCAAACAGCGACACTCCTTACCTCTTATTTGGAGGCGTTTAAAACACAACTACTGAATCACTGTGTGGTAACATAAAGACACCATGTGACACGGGTAGCCACGACGCTCACAAACGAGAACCACAGCTACACCTTTTTACGGCCAAATATAGACAAAGTGCACGAAGCTCAGTAACAGTGCAACCGATTTCGACAGATCGCCATAGACAGCCAGTGGCAAACTGTCGGAATCGCCCGCACTATTACTGAAATGTGCGCACTGCCGCCCTAAACTGGCCGTAAAAAGGTGTATAACACTACTATCAAACGTACGACGGCGGCCGGTCGTGCACTTGCCGACATATGCACCTCAGCATTGCATTTCGCCAATCAAACCATTTACCGCATCAGTCATACCTGTGCAATTCTCCCTAAGTGTAATTCTCCCTCCATGCCAAACCGTTAGACAGTAGTGGCAGCAGTGCGGCCAGTCTTCGTGTGTGTCCGCATGTGTCTGGTGAGACTTGTCCGTTGAGTGAACCGGGCCTGGCAGTGTGAGCAGCCGTACGGCCGCTCCCCCGTGTGGGTACGCATGTGTAAGGCGAGACTTGCCCCTCGAGTGAACCGTGCCTTGCAGATGGAGCAGCCGTACGGCCGCTCCCCAGTGTGGGTCCGCATGTGTCTGGTGAGACTTGTCCGTTGAATGAACCGGGCCTGGCAGTGTGAGCAGCCGTACGGCCGCTCCCCCGTGTGGGTACGCATGTGTAAGGTGAGACTTGCCCCTCGAGTGAACCGTGCCTTGCAGATGGAGCAGCCGTACGGCCGCTCACCAGTGTGGGTCCGCATGTGTCTGGTGAGGTGTGACCGAAGAGTGAACCGTGCAGTGCAGATAGAGCAGCCGTACGGCCTCTCCTCAGTGTGAGTCCGCATGTGTTGAGTGAGTTGTGACCGTGCAGTAAACAGTGCCGTGCAGTTAGTGCAGCCGTGCGGCCGCTCCCCAGTATGGGTCCGCATGTGTGTGGTGAGATTTGTCCGCTTAGTGAACCGTGCCGGGCAGATGGAGCAGCCGTACGGCCGCTCCCCCGTGTGGGTCCGCATGTGTTTGATAAGACTTGATTGCTCAGTGAACCGTGCAGTGCAGATAGAGCAGCCGTACGGCCTCTCCCCCGTGTGAATCCGCATGTGTGTGATGAGGTGTGACCCTTGAGTGAACCGTGCAGTGCATATAGAGCAGCCGTGCGGCCTCTTCCCCGTGTGGATCCGCATGTGTCTTTTAAGGCTTGATCGATCAGTAAACCGTGCAGTGCAGATAGAGCAGAAGTGCGGCCGTTCCCCAGTGTGGGTCCGCATGTGTTTGGTGAGGTTTGACCGGTAAGCAAACCGTGCTGTGCAGATGGAGCAGCCTACCGGTCGCTCCCCCGTGTGGGTCCGCAAGTGTTTGGTGAGGCGTGACGGTTGAGTGAACCTTGCAGTGCAGATGGAGCAGCCGTACGGCCGCTCCTCCGTGTGGGCTCCCAAGTGTTTGGTAAGGTTTGACTGTTTAGTCAACCACGCCGTACAGATGGAGCAGCAGTGCGACCGCACCCCAGTGTGAGTCTTATGGTGACGTTTTATGCCTGTGGACCTGTCGGTCGAGTACCGACACCGCTCGCATTTGAACCTCCCGTTCCTGTCGATGTCACTGTGACATCTCTTCACGTGTCCGTCCAGACGTTGCTTTCCCAGACATCGGAAGTCGCAGTGGGGACATTGGACCGAGAGCCACTGATGCCTGAAGAAAACACAAAAAGAAGAAAGGACATTAAAAACGTTTCACGACAAAGCAGGTCGCACATTCTGGAACAATACCGACGCCCAGAGATGACCCACGCAGCTGGTCGCGTTACCAGATCACCTTGGTGAGCGCCGTGGACGGTAGCGGCAATGTTGACGCGACAAACGATCAGCGCCCATGAGTTGATCCGTGTATCGTTCGAAATACATCCTTCAGAAACGGAACGCTGAGCTCGTAAGAAATAGTTCACCTGTCGATTATTAACTGGCGCACGGACAGGACTCCGAGCCAACTTATCCATGAAGAAAAAGGCTAATTTCGCAACACATGGATGAGGAAATACTGGATGATACATGACGAGTATCGTCCCATCCACGGCCAGGGGTGGATATTTATATCAAGTTGGGGTTGCACGTGCAACCCCAATTTGAATTGTGCAGCCCCAACACCAGTTTGTGCAACCCCACCTTCAAAATTGAAATAAACCGATGGGCTACTCCAAATGTGCCGCCCCCATTGGTGTGTTGTTGTGTGTTTCTGGTGTGTTGTGTTTCTGGCGCACGAGCGCACCCGTGCCGCCGCCCCGGCTTATGCCCGAGGCCTGAGTGCGCCCGTGTCGCCGCCGCCCGCCCCGGTCCGTAGCTGAGTGCGCCCGTGTTGTCGCCAGCTGATTGGGCCCGCCGGACGACAAGACTGGCGCGGATAGGCAAGGACGACGCACGCCATTACGTTTGTTTACCTTGGTGATTAACGGCTGGACTCAGGCAACAGTTCTCCGAATAAATCTCGTTTGTCTCATTAAATACGACTCTTTCATTCGAACAGACCGAAACACAACACCCATAACCCTGTACCATCCAAAACTCAATGGGGATGTTCGCGCTAAGAGTTCCGAAAAGTCTCGCCAGGTGGCAGCACGGTATGCTTTGGACACAACGCGCCGGCCGGGCGCCGGCCGGGCCGGGGATAACACTGCGGGCGGCGACGGCGCGGCCGACGCGCCGCGAACGGAAACTGCGTTTCATGTCTTTTTCAGGTTCATCATTTTGCTAAAATGAGTAGCTACAGTTGATTTCGATATTAGGAAGACAATGACGCGTGTGAAAGGCAAACTACTACATCGTCATTGAGCGGAAGGAAAGGGAGCTGATCGAATGGTCACCAAAAGCTACGGAGTACGAAAGATACGATGTTATCACATATTTTAACTTACCAAGTTGAAATTAAAAACCTTATTACATTCAGACATATATTCACACGCATGAAACAATCGATTTACAGCACACATTCCATGACAAGAACGCATACCTACGGTCTTAAGTTGACCTCTAGCGCTCGTCACTGTCAGATAAGTCAATCACATCCCTGTAGTTTGTACAGACTATTGACTTAACCCTTCATCCGGCATGCGTTCATTCTGTAATGATGGGCAACGAATCACCGGCGATTTCTGCGTGGCTCTATATGACATCCTCGTCCGTTCCCCAGGTCAATTGGTTCGGTGACTTTCAAATTATAGCAGGCCCTTCCTCGGTCAGGCTTGATGGACCCACCGTCACTTTGCGCGGTACTTTTAAGACAGACTGTACCTTCTACCAACACGACTGACTGATTACAATCTGATGTGAAAGGGACAATATCTCGTCGGTCTATCAGTTAAAGTTTAATATTCAGCGACACAAGTGTGAAGGCTGCCTGGAAAACTTGCAACAAACTAAGTAAACTAAGCTTGGCTTGTAATGGGCACAAACTTGTAATAAAGAGGTACTTAATTAACAAATCAACAATGTTCTGTTCAGGCGCCGGCAAGGAGATTCTCGCCGGCGCCTGACTATGGCGGCCGCGTGTTGTGACGCTCCGTTTTTAATCAGTTTTTAGCATAGCCACGCTGCTCCTGTCGCGTGTGAGTGTGCTGGGACCGAGATTGGACACTGGGCTACCGAGTGAGTGACGTTTTTTTACCATGGACTGTGACCTTTAAACTTTTATGACCACTGTTAAATCTGCTATTTTCATCCGCTCGTGCCCGATCAGAGCTGGATGCGAGGGGTCACGCTGCTTGAATCCCCGTTCTACCGGTTTCCGAAGAGGTGTAGTGCTACAGCCAACCAATCAGCACCGCGGATTTCGCTCCACCGGATTCTACCGGACCTGCTCTCGGGTCAGGACGAGGTACCGCTGCAGCTGCGACCGGCCTGGATCGGCGGCGCGGGAGTCCGGCCGTGGGGGGATGGGGCGGCCGGCCCGAGAGCCGGTCTGGCCCGGCCCTGTCGGGATCGGCGGACCACGCGACGCGGCACCCGGGCAGGATGGCGGCTGCAGCGACGGAGATACCGCGGGGACTGGATGTCGCATCACTGCGTTGTCCGCTGCGTGCCCCGTGGGCGAGCTGATTCCCCGACCGACACATCGTGGCTCTCCCCCGCCCCTTCCCGCTGCCTGGCGAGGGCCGAGCACGGGGCGTGGGGCCGGGTGGCGAACGTCGAGACACGTGCTCTGAGCGGAGATGCACGTAGTTTCTCTCAGGCGGGGCGCCATGAACCACGTCAATTGGTGCTGCCGCCGCGGCTTACGCTCAGACAGACACGTCAGGCCGAAATCCGAATGGTGGCGACTTCTTCGTGTGCGCTTAAAATAGGTCACCTGAACGTGCGTTCACTGACCGCTCACCTTGACGAGGTGAATCTGCTCCTGCTGCGGGAGGAACTGGACGTGCTGTGCCTCAGCGAGACCTGGCTCACCGACTCAGTCGACTCCAGCATGCTCCTGTTTCCCGGGTACACCATCAGGCGCCGCGACAGAGAGGGCAGGACGGGGGGGGGGGGGGGCGGAGTGGCACTGATCTGTCGCAACACGCTCAAGCTGGACGTGATGCGTGTGCCATCTGCCGGCTCCACACTCGAGGCGGCGTGGGTACAGATCACCGATCGATCTACCATAATCGTCGGTACCGTCTACCGTCCCCCGTCCGGCCCGTACGCTCCAGCGTTCGATGATCTCCAGCAGCAGCTGACGCACGTGCTGGCACAAGGTCGACCGACATACGTGCTGGGGGACATCAACTTCGACCTATCCCGTCCCGACAAGCCGGGTGTTACAACATACCTTCAGCAGCTTGCCGAACTCTCTCTGCATCAGCTGATAACCGAGCCGACCCACCCCGGAGAGTCGCCGTCTATTCTCGACCACCTTATAACGAACAGACCGGACCTGACCTCCAATGCCCGGGTCATACCTTGTAACATTAGCGACCACGACCTTATCACTGCTTCGATCACCAACACCAAGACACGACATGTGCCCGTCACATGCACCGTGCGGTCCACGCGCCGTGTCGACACTGCTGCCCTCTGCCTCGACCTGCTGCTGGCGGATTGGGCGGAGTTCGACCGTGCCGACTCCATAACCGACAAATGGAACGGCTTTCTACGCGTGTGGGACCCGGTGATTAACCAGCACATGCCGATGAGGACCGCCAAAATGAAGCATCGACACCGCCCCTGGATGGATGATGATGCTGTGACAGACGCGATGGCGGCTCGAGACCAAGCGCGGATCGACAGAGACACCATTCCGTGCGATGACACTGACCGAGAGTTTCGGCAATGCCGTAACGCCGTCAAATTGGCCATTAATCGAGCCTGCGCCTCCCACTATGCCTCTCTGTACAGAAACTCGCGACCCAAAACGTGGAAGAGCATCAGACAGTTTTTGATTGCATCAAAGAAGGCCGAACCGAGGACTACCGACCTGAATGCTGCGGACAACGGGTGGCCAGATCGACTGAACCGATTCTTCGCGTCAGTCGGCCCTGACGTGGCTGACGCCCTGGCCTCGGAGGACACCGGGGAGTGGGACAGACTGACACCCCGTCCGCCACGTGTGTGCTCGAGTGCATTCAGACCGCGGGCCGCCACTCTCCCCGAGCTTTCTGCGGCGCTCCAGCGGTTGGGATCCTCGCGGGCATGCGGATCAGACGGCATCACTGTGCACATGTTGCGTGAAACGTTCCCAGTGATTGGCCCCAAGCTTCTGGCGCTAGTCAACCGTTCTATTGTTAGTTGTGACGTACCTGTGTCATGGAAGGCCGCCACTGTGACTGCGCTTCACAAGAAGGGTGGCATTAGCGACCCAAACAATTACAGACCCATAGGTATCAGTGTTGCCTGTTGTCGCCAAGCTGTGTGAAAGAGTTGTTTGCTCCCAGCTAGTGACGTATTAAAGCGAGCACCACATCCTGTGTCCCCAGCAGTACGGGTTCCGGCCGGGTTTGTCCACGGAGGCGGCCCTGCTCGATGCTGTTACGTACGCGGTGACGAACATCGATAGCGGCCGCGTGACGTCACTTGTTACCGCTGATACGTCGAAGGCCTTTGACAGCGTTGAGCATGGCCGTCTCCTGGACAAACTCGGTTGGTACGGCATTGACTCCGGATGGTTCTCGGCCTGGCTGAGAGGACGCACACAGTGTGTGAGAGGTGGATCAATTGCTATGAACGTGTCTCATGGAGTGATCCAAGGTTCGATTTTGGGGCCGATTTTGTTTTTGATTTTCACCAATGATTTACCTCACACACCCAGTTCCTTGACACTGACTCTTATGCAAACTTGCAAAACTTGAAGGACCGCATCGAAACTTCTCTCTCAGTTGGACCGAGATGGTTCACCCAAAATCGTCTGAAAATTAACCCAGCTAAAACTGAGCTGATAATAATTAAATCTAGACGTCAAAATCTTGATTCAACATTCTCGATTCATTTTGAAAACGATGAGCTCAAACCAAACCACAGTGTCAGGGTTCTGGAGGTCGTCATCGATTCTCACCCGACTTGGGATGAACACATCACGGGTGTTGTTCGTAAGTGCTTTTGCGTGCTGGTGTGCCTGGCCAGGATCCGGCATAAGCTACCGAGATGCACAAGACGGCTGATGATCGAAGCTCTAGTATTTCCCCACATACGTTACTGTTTAAGTGTGTGGGGAAGCTGTACGGTCAC